ATTCTTTGTTGTACTAAAATTATTCCTTACACTTACGGTGTGGTTATAGGATCCGGAGCAGGTTTTCACACTACTTTTTCACTTTACACATTGCTATATATCTATTATGACAATGGCAATAAATCAATTGAAATGAATTTAATTGAACTGAAAAGAATGTGAGAAACTATTTGAGCTTATTTAAAAGCTACTGTACATATACCCCTTCATTTACCACTAATCTGCTGAAGAATCTGTTTTTAATGAGCATAAAGCTATTTTTTTTTCTACAGATACATTTAGGACTCCCTACCCTTTACAAATGTAGGGGTTGGTGGTACTACAGGAGGCAAGAGAACACATTAGATTCAGCCAATTTAAAACCAAAGGTTTCTTTTGTAATCCCCATATGATATAGTCAGTATGAAAAACTGATAAAAGCATTTTTCCTCTTTTTACCTTGAGACAATGCGTGTAAAAGTGAAGGATGCATTGTCTGGAATTTATTTCATGAAACAGCTGTGGACCAGTATTTTAGACTACAGATATTTCTGGTAGAGATTTGTTTTTGTCTTTTCTTTTCTTTCACTTTTATCAAAAACACTTGGCTCCTGTTATCATGTAACATTTTTCTACAAACATTACTCAGATATATTTCTTTTCCCAAAAATCAATATTGCAATGCAAAATCCAGAAGGTTGATCCGTGGTAGTGATGTCCGACATCTCCTCCATGCACTGAAAACACTGTTTTCAGCTCCACTGTGTATTACTGCAGGTATTAGAACAAGTGGTTCTGCAACAGCCTGTAACTGCACATTACTGCTGCTGCAGCCTTATCAATACTATGACTTTTGCCACGGTGTGCCTCACTTAAAGAGCAATTTCAAACACAATGTTCTGATTTTGGAGACTTTGAATAAGTTAAACAAAATGTTCCTGGGATTTATTTCGTCATTACTTCCTCCCACTATTGTGTTTGTTAAAGCAGGACTAAATGATAAAGCGCAGTGGTTGCATACTTGAGGAGTAAAAGTCATAAGGTTTTACAATGCTGTTTTTCTAACAGGTCTGGACGTATGGATTTTTAGAAATCGATGTTATTCTGCATGCCTGCTTACCCTTTATTTAATTGTTTTCTCTCCTTGTCTTTTGTGAGAAATAACTGCAGACCCTCCCCCCATGTTTTCCATCTCACTGTCAGGATGTCGCACTAGAGGGAACAAGATTCGGACCTTGTTAGTCTGTGGTTGGAGGAACTGTCTGACACATAAAAAATATATTGTAGTGCTTATGAGTCTTGGGTTGGATGTGAAGAGATAATATAGCAGTTTAAATTCCACTAGCCTAACATAGCTCAAGGATATTCAAATAAAATCTATTCAGTCAAGTTCACCCTGAATAATTATTTCCTTCTAGAAATAAACAAAAACAAGACTCTGTATAACCCCCAACCCCCCCATACACATACACCCAAATCAACCAATTTCAGTAATGATAATCTATGCATAGATGAAGCACAAGACTATGTGCACCAGAATAGATTATATGTTTGAAATTGCTCAAACATGGTATTTCAACAATTACTTCACAGCTGTTAAGCAAAGAGGTGGAAGTGTCATGGGTTGGTGCCACTTTGTGGACGCAGGATCAGGGATAAATCTACAAGATGGATGGATGTTCAGAATAAATGCATTCAAAAATAAACCCAACAAGCTAAACATGACTAAGCAGATTATGTGTTACTGTGTTACCCTTTTAAACTGTTCCTTGGTGTTGATTTATTCTTTTAATTATGTTGAATAATGGTGAGTGACTAATTCAGTCATGACATTTGATTTCTCACGTAGTTGTTCCTACAAGCTGACAATGAATCAGCCTCAAATATTTACATTTACTTTTTAAAGTAGTGTAATTGTGAAGCTTTTGTCCCCATAAGAATATAATTTGTGCAGATCTCAAGGTTATATAACATTTTCTACAAATATCAATTCTAACCTCGCCCATGATCCACCTTATTGGCATCATAGCTCAAGAGAGGCCTGACCTTTTTATCACGCAAATCCTAAAGCTGCTGTTCTCCAGTTTGTCTAGGACTCCACTATAGATCAAGGATGTTGACCAAAATCATACTAAATAAAAATAGTCACCTGAAGTTCTTTAGAGTTAGGAACTCTTTTGTCTGAAGAGAGAAAGTGTAAAGGGCGTACTGCATAAGACATTCAAACCTTGAAATCAGTTAAAGCCATAAATCTTCTTAGTTGTTTTATGCAGAAACTGGCAAAATGACAGAAGAAAAACTGTTTTCTGCCTTAATATTTGTTCCTCTTCAGGCAGACCTGGTTACCCATTGATACCTGATAAAGTCTTGGGACCAGAGGTATCAAAAGTACACAGAAAAGTACAGATATCTGTGTAAAAAAGATTTTGTTAAAAGTAAAAGTACCTATTGAATTAATTGACTTAAGTGAAAAATTTACAGGTTCACACTGTACATAAAGTACAAAAGCAACATTAGGTTTTTGAGTTAAATCATCCAAAATAAACTTCAAAACCTATATTCTCAAATAAAAAAATTATATACACATAAAAGAGGTTCCTTTTCCTCTTTTGTTCACTTTGTTCTTACATAAAACATTAAAAAAAGAACAAACTATGAATTGTTTTGTTTTAAATAAAACAATTCAGACAGGATAATATAGATCGAACTGAACAGGAATCCTGGTTAAGCAGCTGAATACTCTAGAACTGTGAAATTTACAGCATTATTGCAAATAGCATTAAAATTGAAATAGAACTTGAAACATTCTTAACTTTAAATTGAAGATCCAATAAAGCCGGAATGTCTAGCGTCTCAGAATCGGATCATGCATCTGCAATGTTTTTAGAATTACTGTTTTTTAAAAACAAACTAAGCTTTTACTGGACAGATTCTTTATGGCCATTTGACTTTTGGCATTTTGTTGCAGCTCCTCCTTACTTAATCTGTTTGAGAAATTGAAGAGTTGAAAATACAGTTATTTGTATTTATGGCCTATGGTCTAGATTTCTGCCTTGTCACATTTCATTGACGAAATAACTGGTTATGCAATTGGTTCTCCTTTAGAGATTTGTTTTTTTTTATGGTGTTGCCTTTAGCAACCAAATCATTTGAGGTTCACAACTTCTATGTAACCAAAAAACAAAGTTCAAGGAAAAGTCCAGATTGATGCTGATGTTCTAAAGTATCTGCCCATTGAGGTGGAAATCTGGCTGTATTTGTCTGCCCTCTGGTGGTTATAAGGGAACTGTCATAAATTCTGCACAAAATCTCAATCTCATTCTATGGAAAGATCTAAAATAATTAAGTTTAAATCAGAACATTTTCAAATAAAACTTCATCCAGGTTTTAAGAAAGTAATTCAGGTCATCCTCTGTTCTGGGTAAAATGGTTGCCTCCTATCCTGACTGGGTATCAAGTCCTCTAAAATTAATAATTTAATGCACAGTTTCTTGTTTTTTATGCATTTTATCCTCCACTTAATCTTTTTCTGATAAGAACTCTATATCACATATTGCATTACAAATGTGATCACATATTATGGGTTACAATAAATAAATTTGCTGTGGGAAGTTGAGTTTGCAATGGTTATTCAAGCTAATTTCTTTCATATTTCTTATGCCTAGAAATAAAATAGAAAATGTGGATTATTCAGGAAACTAAACAGAGATATCTTTGCATGGCAAAACACATTCACAACCAAACATTAAGAAGATGAACCTCACAGTCTCATGTCGCTTGCATCCTGAAATGCTTTTTTTCCAGAACTGTTCTTTATTTAGCTCCATCATTTGTCCAACCATAACTGACCAGCCTAATTGGGTACCCTGATATAAAGAAAAAACCCTCTAAACCAGCCTTCAGACCAAACATCAGTGCCAGATTATTTCGAGCCATTGGTGAGATCTATTCCAGTATTCTGATTCCTGACTTCCTGCCTGTTTGCCTGACCTGATCCCTGTCTGACCTGACTGCCTGCTTATTCTTCTTGACCCTGATCAGTTTGTCTGCCTGCCCGTTGCCTAACCTGGGGCTGTTTCTCAACCTCGTCCTGGATTTCCCTCTGGTGCTTCATTGGACCTCTGATCTCCTGACTCTGACCATGGACTTCAACCTATAATACGGATTCTGGTTTGTCCTCCTGTTCTTCCAGCCTACTATTGTCTTCACGGTTCTGACCCTCTGCTCTGTTAGTGACCATTACGTTTGTGATTGATGCACACCGTAAAGCTAACCTGGTCACAAACTTTCTGTCTCCATTTCCAGAGGTTCCTGCCATAGTCGCTGACACTACGTGCAGCAGTTTCGTTTCAAAAAACTGTGAAACTTCAAACTGGTTGTTTGGTTTGTTTTGTGGGTCCATCTGTTCTGATCATTACGATTATTATTCGGACACTCCTTATTCCTGATGTGGAGCATATAAAGGATAGTGAATTTGTTCAAGCAATGTTTAACTCAAACGGTTGAGCCCATGAATCAATTTCTTTCTTCTCCATAAGTATAGGACTTAATAGATATCAAGCCTAAATGAAAGCAGTCAATAAAAGTAATGTTAATAGCTAAGATGGAAGAAGAAGGCTTACATTGCTCTGTCCAGTCAGTCAATAGACATTATGAGATTGGCTAAAACAGCTATGATGCTGAACCATCATACACTTTGATTTGTCAACTGTATTACACACTGACATGAATTCTTCTGTCAGTTCAGCATACGCTTCATGTTTTAGAGATCCAAATATGTAAATCTACCTTTTGGAGAAATTATATATTTAACTAAGTTTCTTTCATCAGGAGAGAAATGTAAAAAAATAAATAAAAAAAACTTGTCTGGAAAAAGGCAGGATCCAGAAAACCAAAGTTAAGAAAAAAAAAAAAAAAAAAAAACGAAGAAGAAGAGTTCTTTAATGGCTCCAACACAAATCTGGGCCTTTTCTTTTCTTCCAGTCAAAACCTGTAAGTGAATGAGAGGTATATTAGGGATTTTGTAGCATGGAACTTGCCAAGCTCTCTTTAATGTATTAAAGCTAAAATGTGTTAAACCTTTTAAGAATAACAAAATGGTACAAATAAAAAAAAAACATGATACACATACTTACAGAAGCACTGAGCCAGGTGGTACTCCACCACTGACCGTGGAGTATATTAATGACAAAATATATTGAAACCTGTCAGACAGATCAGGTTTAAACCCACCTAACAGTGTTCGCTGGATCCTTATTGCTTGTTCAAAGCTCTCTATGAGAACATTGGGCCGTATGCAAGAAATTATTTGCCTAAACAGGTACAGGTTCTTCATGAGTTGCTGTCATATATACATATGCTTGGTGTCAATTTGTTTAACTGTTGAATAAAAGGGTCTACCCTGACCTCTAGTGGAGAGAAGAGTTTAACATATATGTTCACATTTATGAAAGACATAATGCATTTAGTGAGTATCCTGACATTTTTGTTCATTCTTATTACAGTTGATTCATTTCTTTATGCTTTTCATACCTATGACATTTCAAGTTCAAAGTGATCATCGTCATCTGCATCTCCCTCATTATGGTCTTCCTCTGATGAAGACCAGTACAGGACCCTGAAACAGCCAATGACAAAAATGCAATATAAAATACAAGGAAAAAAATGCTCTGGTTATAAAACATTACAAAAAAAGCTATATTGTGTGAAAATAAAAAATCTTTATTCACCCCAGGGTGAGGAACAGCAGCAGCAGTGAAGTGGTTAAACAGGTGGTGAGAAGAACGAGGAGGAGGGGGAGAAAGGAGCGCGGAGCAGCACCAGGCGCAGAGAGTAACTGCCCTCCTGGGAGCAGAGACAGGTCAAATATCTCCTGCAGCTCTGTGTGGCCTGCCACAAGCTGGGGGGTCACTTAAAGACACAGAGAGAAGAAAATGATACAGTAAAAAACACTGACAGGAGTGTTAGAGTAGCAAATTGATGTTATAGCAGCTGTTACAGCAAAAGTATTCATACACCCAAAATATTCCCACATTTTGTCACATTACAGTCACAAAGGTCAGTGTCCATCTCTGCATATTTAAGAGAAAATAGCATTGCGCTGTTGGAATGTATTTATATGCAGGCAGGGAAAGACAAGCTTTGCAGCACTGAGAAGTAGATAGATGGAAGACATTTCTAGAAGAAAACTTTTTAGAGGCTGCAAATCAGTTGAAGCAAGCTAAAACAACAACAACCCCAAAATAGACCTAGAGCCACAATGGAAATCCAATGCAAAATCTATGAGAAGAATTGAACATTGTAGTTCACATGCATTCTTTCTGGTGTTGAGTTTTTTCAGTTACTTGTTCTGCAAAGCTTTTAGAAAGATACACCAAAATACTTTACAGGTAAAGAAAAAGAAAACCTATGTTTGGTTTTTCTTCCAGTTTACTACACTTTGTGTCACCCAATAACACCCTTTGATATCATTGATAATGTTCAGGTAAAACGTCCAATAACTAAATATCTGTTTACTTTTGCAGAGCTGATCATCATTTCTTTTTCAAAAGTTGTAGGTAACATGTTTTATATATTCATGTACAAAATTAGTCAAAAGTCTTGAGTCTAAACGCCCCCCCATGCTTCTGATGTTTGTGCCTTCAGACTTTTCATAAAACATGTTTCTAAATATTGTTAAATTATTTTTCATACCTAATTGTTTTTAGAAAACTGTTTCCTAGTTTATAAAAAAAAACGTCCATACATAGAAAACGCTTCAGAATAAAGGATGTTTAATTGTTACACAATAGTCAACTTAGCAAAAAAAAAAAAAATTATATTAACACATTAGATAGAAGATTATTACATATACATAATGTGTTCTTGTTTATTTGGTAAATTCTGATTTAAATAAAACGTAAGAACTGAAGGAAAAATGTGCTAGTTAAGTATAATTGAAATCACGGATGATCAACTATAAGCAGAGACTGCTGCCTAAAGTCCAAGATGGAATTTTAAACATGGTCAGAAAACCTGAGACACTATTGATCATTTAGACTTTGAGGGAATTTTAAGAAAAGATTTCAAACTTCAGGAAACCTTATTCAATTTTAAGTTTTTTTTATTTTTTTATTTCAAGCTTTTTTCAAATTTTACATGATAAAGGTATTGGGACTGAGTCTATATTGTTTTACCAAACTGTCCCCTGCCACAGTTAACATAAACGTCTAAGTTTAACACAAGCGTCATAAGTTTCTATTCTGTTTCTTGAAAAGTGGCAGCTATGGTGAGGTGGTTACCTGTAATGTAGAAGTAGATCCTGACAATAGAGCGACTGCCTGAGTAAATCTCACACTGGTAGGTGCCCTGATGCTGCAGGCTAGTTGATGGAATGGAGTAAAGTCTGTCTACACCTGCAGTCACCTCTATAAACTGGTCCATTTCCTGTGTTTTGATCTGCAAAGGAAGAAAATGCTGACCACTTTATCAACAGGAGTTGCTTCTGCAAAGAAAGATGCAGCAGCAGATTTCTTTTTGGAAAATAAAGGATAATGCTGAGAGAACTGAAGTTCAAAGTGACTAAACAAATAAAATGGGAAAAGTCCTTTTCTTCCAAATTGCATTTTCAGCTTGCCATGTTAAGATAATTCAGTTTTACCTTTAAGTTAATATCTAATAAGATATGGAAGTGAAGTTTTTCTTATTTGGAGTGGCTAATATTAACTATTCGTTTCAGGCCCAGTATGGATAAAAACTCTCTCCCCACATTTGTGATTCAGTAAGGAGAACACAGGATAAGCACAACAAAAGATATAAATAGAATAATAAAAAACTTCTGTCCACTGTCTCTTTTTTTTGGAGGGTTTATTGTTTTTATCACTTTTAGTGTTTGGTTGACTTGTGCTTCTGCTTGTCTCCATGTCTTT